GTTGAAGCTGTGCAAGCAGCAAAACTGGAAACCCTAAAATGAATCGTGCCGCTGTCTTGCACAGGTAACTGGCGTGGTTGTTGAAGCTGCGCAGTGGGATGACAAGGTCGAGAGCTGCAGAACGACATGGCAGGGGCGCCCCCTGGCCTGCTGCAACAACGACAGCAGCTCTCACGCTCCTCGGGTTCCTCCGAAGGTCGCGGAGTCTCTTACCAATGCTACGGCATTCAGCTGATGACACATCAGCAATCCTCCGAATCACTGTCAGCTTCGTCATCCAGCGAGGGTGAATCCTGAAAGAGCTTCATCCTGCACCCGGAGCACCAGCACCCGAAATGCCTGAACTAGCAGCACCGGACCCGCAAGTGCATGCAAGTGCAAGGTCCTAGCTTCGTCACGTGAAGTGTTTGGAGTAGCCTCCACTTGCGTATCCGGCCACACGGGTGCTTTTTGTCACGCACTCGTCGAACCTGCTTTGGCGACTTGGTCACAGACTCCTCGAACCACTGGGCCTGAAGCACTTCTTACGAGGAAACATCCACAAGCAGGCATGCCAAAGACGCCTTCACAGTCCGGCCAGTCAACTTCCCAAGCATTCTTACCTGGGACAAAAGATTTCCAGCCTCTTGTCATGTTACAATGGCGCAGCTTCCTGCTGCCGGCACAGGTACCATAGATGGAACCAGCCTGTCCCAGTCCTGGCTCACCTTGACATGGGAGTGGCAGTGGCACATTCGGCATGAGAGTGACCGTACATGCTGCCGAGGTTCAGCTAATCGAACCATACTCTCCGCATCCTCCTTGCTCGCAGCACAGCGCCTCGGAGCCAATCTTGCATGCAACTTGCCGCCAAGCCTTCTCAACCAAATCTGCTGCTGCCTCAGGCCTCCCCAGACCATGCCTTGCGGAGAAGGCACTGCGATGCCTCGGGCAGCTGAAATGTCCTTGGCAGTACATCCCTTTGCACTCACGTCATCCACATGCGAGGAGAACCTTGGGCAATCGCTTCACTGTCTCATCGGCGAGTCGACGATGCTCGGCCTGGTACATGCGGACTGCACCCAGGTGAATTGATGCAATGCCTGCTTCTGTCGCGCCTCAAAAAGGTGAGCAAAGTGAGTGTCTGACTCCTTGACCTGGCAACGAACGGAGCTTCACATTCTTCCCCTGTATCATTCGACTTGCTCAAAGTGCTCCGCCGACCTGCCCTACCACCATCAAGCCTTTCACCAGTGCCTTAGATCAGGTTCTCCATCTGCCTTAGCCTGAAACCGCGCGCACCATTCAGCGAGTTTTCCTCTGCTTCTGACTGCTTCGCAGTGCTAGCAGCACCAATAACTAACTGATAGATGGCTTCTGGGCCCATCTGGGGCAAGGAGCCAATTAAGCTCAAACAGGCCTTGCTACCAAGAACCTCATGTTTAACACGAGGATTCCACAAGGATGGCAGCAGGCCAATTCTGCTGGTCCATAGATCAGATCCATGAGTTCTCACGGTGGGATCCGGGAGAAAAGCCAACCTATCACCATCATTTACTCCAAGAATTGGAGGTCGCTGGCGATCAGCGCCAATCACACCTCGTCAAGGAGCAATCAATGACTGAGTCTGCCACACAGGAAAACCATTGCTTGTTTGTCGTTACTATGCCGCCTCGTCGACATAGTCTAGATCGACCACATCGTCATCGGTTAGGTCAAAGAAATCCTGCACTTTGGTGGCAGTTCTAGGACAAGGCCAAGGAATCTGGCGCGCCTCAACGTGCAGCATGACAGAGCAAATGGCCTGAGGAGAGTAAGTATTGAAGGTTTGCTTCTGTCGGTGCAAATATTCCTGTGACTATTTGTTTTGATTCCTCTCCATGACCCTACTACAAGTAGGAGAACGAAGACATCAGTCATCAGTCTCAAGGATTGGTGCCATGGCATGATAGCCTAGAAAGGCCTCTTCCGACACCTCTTGCGCCGCTTTGAGCTGGCACCTGCGTGACCGCACGATGTGACCAAGCCAATGGAAGCAACAGCATGCTCATGCTGGGCACGGATGCTCTTGTTTGCAACTTTGAGTTCAAGTCGCATGTTGCGCTCGTCATTCTCCGTGCATGTCTCATCCTCGGAGTCGGAGTGCTGGATCAGGAGCCCCACTGCCTGCACACGAAGGTCACTGACACCGTGTCCATAGCTGGAAACCAAAGCGACCGCTCACCTCTTCACAGGTCACACCCACCTGAAGGCAGCTTCAGTGAGATGGGGTGTCGCTCACTAGCCACTTCTACATGAACCCGAATTGGCCATGCATAGCCACTGGGCGGAACCCACCTTCGAGCTGCCAGATGTAGCCACCGAGCATGCAGATAGCATGCCAGACCTCATACTCGACGAAGAGCTGACACACGGACAGGGTGTCCTTGCAACGGGAGAGCTGTGGAATATGACCTGCACCCGTTCATCCAGCTCGTCTAGTGACTTGCAATGTGATGCTCAAGCTCCTCTGGCCGCATGCATCGGACCTGGAATCCATGGCTTGCTCTTGCGCGGCCCGTCTCAAACTCGCTGCAACCTCTGCACGGCGCACGTCTCTGAATTCGCAGGCGCACAAGGCGCGAAAAACGCTGCTCATTTCAACCACCGTGCCTGGCACAAATGGGATTCTATCTCAGCCTCCACCTGCGATTGAAAGCCAATATAAATCCATGAGGTTTCAATTGCGTCTGCTTCCCCAGCAAAGCCTTGACGGTCTCAGGGCCGGTCGGCAACCACATGTCTTCTGCAGCGCGTCTCAGGCTTTCTGCAACCTGCAGCCATCGTGTGACAAACGAAGCCACATCCCTGGTTGCTGAAGCCACACCCTGCGACGAGCACGTTGAAAGTCATCTGCTTCCTGCAGGGACGCGACGAATAACTCTGAGCCTCTTTTGATTCCTGGCATCTCATGAAGAAGACATGCAGCACAAGCAACTCTGAGTGTGCGCTTTGCTCTCTGGAAATTGATCGATACCGAAAGCCAGCGCAAACAAAAACTCAACGCAGCGCTGGGTCCGAGTAACGTCAATCAAAATGAGGCCCAGGTCCGTGACCTATCAACTGCATCGGCCTTGCCGAGAGCTTCCCAACCAGCCCTACTAACACACGAAGAGCCTGGCCTCGACACTGCACCCCTCGGACTCGGCAGAAGTAATCCCTCGGAGGACTTGTTACTGGGAGTCCTGTAAACCAAAGCCTTAGGTTAACCGTCGCTTGCGATACACTCCCATGTGACCTTATACTGACTCGTCTCGTAGTTGTTGGCATGAGAGGATCGGCCTATCGGCAGCCCCAAAACCTCACAAAACTCCTTCTCCGCTGTGCGCAGATCTTCCCAGCCGAACTCCGCAGCCTGCTTGAGGCATTCAGCCACCTGCGCCGTCCGTGGAACGACAAGCCAGGAACATGTCACACACCCATCCTGCCTTTCGACGAGACTGCTCAAACTCGTCATCCTCAGTTCAGCTAAAGTTCAAACAGCATGGCCCCTTACTCGAGAGAGGCATTGTGCGATGTGCAGATAGCAAGGACGGCTTTTGCTTTGAGAATGTGCTGAGGAGCCTCATTCTCCCGCTCGTCTGCGGCTGGGGATGGCATCTCTCCAGCATCCTCGCATTCCATCACCTGAAGGCCACAAGCAGAAGCGATCGCCCCCACACAGCGTGGACATGTTCAACTCGTTCTGCGACAGGCAATTTTCTGCCTCGGCGCTGCCGTCCTCCTCAGCGAGTTTCAGCTTCAACCCCGTGGCGTGCAAGACGTGGCACCGGGTTCCAGGCAGTTTCGGAGGTGTCCAAGGCTTCAGATAAGCCGGCTTCCACAGCACGGCTGATTCTGTGCTGGAACTCCGTTGAACAACCTTCTCGTCGCAGCACCTCCACCAGCACCTTCAGAAAGGTATCTCCTCGGCATGCACCGCTTGCTTCAGTCGGACTGCACGCGCCCGAGTCTCACAAGAAGCCAAGCTTCTCAAGCTGCTGCCCATGTGCTCTTGTGGCGACTGGACCTCCTCCTGCATCCATGGCTGTTGAATATGAAAAGCAAAGGATGCGGTAGCTAGTCCAAGGTCCTGTGTGCTTTCCACGACGGGCCTCTGCTCGGCATTGTTTTCCTCCTCAGAGCCTTGCCTTTGCTCGTGGACGAAGGTCTGGGCTGGATCCTTTCTGAACTCCTGAGCCTGTTCCTGCATTTCCTGCGAATCAGCCTCTCTTGACTCTGGGGTCTCCAGAGTCTCGAGGGTCTCTAGACTCTCTGGAGGCCTTGGCGGCGAGAGCTCCTCTGCGACCAACTCCTGCCCTGCATCCTTCTCACTGGGCCTCTGCCGACGCCGCTTCGGAGCTGTAGGAGCCGGCAGTTTCGGTGGAACGGGCACCTGCAGCTTTCGCTCGCATGCGGAACCTTCTTCCAGGTCCACTGCAGGAGAGGTTCGTAGGCTCGAGGTGCCACCGCGGCAGCAGGCTCAGCCGGCACGACCAGACGCCGCCAACCGGGACCTGGCGGCTTCGAGCGGGACCTTTGCCTTGCAGCAGCCTAGCCGAGCTTGCCGTAGACACTGCGGCCCACGTCGGCATCTTTGGGCGGCTTGTGGATCTCCTGCGCTCGTCGAAACCGAAGGAAAGGTCAGTAGGCCAGCTGTCGTCGGCGACATCTTCCGCTGTTCGAGGTCCGAATGGAAAGAGTCTCTAAAGTCCTACAGCTGGACTCGGGAGCTCTAGAGACTCTGGATGCTCGATTGCAACGGCTTCCACTGCTGTCTTAAAGTACAACTCCGAAAGCACGATTGTCGACTCGTCCAGTGTCATGTATCCTCAAGCTCGACCGACGTTTCAAAAAGAGAATGACTGTCCTGCTGCAAGTTGTGACTGCCAGGCTTCACCATCGTAAAGTTGTGCTCAATGTACGTCAGGCCATTCTCGCCTTAATCTCCCACGCACAACACGGTTCCATCAGTTTCTCCTTCATGTTGGCTACCGCTCGTGGCCAGGTGGCTCTGCAAGCCGGCTTCGCGCCTCCTTGGATTCAACTTACATGCTCCACAAGCAAACCCATAATGGCTGTTGCTTCCCTCCTCCGTCTGAAGGGGTAACCATGTGAAAACCACTTTTAAAGGCTTCATATGGCTTCATGACCCCATGCTTCAACAGCTTCTGTCATCCAACAAGTGTCATGCGGTCGACGATGCTGCCTCATGTGTCGGGCCTCAAACCCACGAAACTAGTCGGAGCTGCGACAGTGGACAGCACCTACTTCTGCCTCCCTTGTTCGGCACCCTTACTGTTACTACGGCGGCCTCACTCTAGCAAACTCTACGTAGACAGATGTCCGATCCCGCAGGACACGTCAAGGAAGATAAAGACTGAAGATAGCAAAGGGAAAAGTGCAGCTTAAGTGCGAAGGTGGCGGAGATGGCGAGGCAGCCCACTCTCCTGGCCGGTGTTTGGCCACTAGCAGAGGGTTCAATTTGACCGAGTGTTATTTCGAACTGCGCACCACCGCATCTGTCTTGTGCTGCTACACTTGGACATGCAAGATTTCGGGTTCATCGACGCTGGACACTGGCGGAGCTCTCCTGCCCCGAAAACCTGAACCGTGCACAGCAGCTCCCACAACCTCCCCACCTCCCGACTGCGACCGATGCAAGGTCTCGCGATGCTTCTCTCGCTTTCGTTGGCCAGTCACCACCGCACTGCTTCAGCATGCCTGCTATAAAGTAGAACCAGCGTTGTCACAAGCGACTGACTAAAGCTATCTCTCTTCTTTCCTTGGGCTTTGTCAGGACCCTCTGCTAGCACAATGCGGCAACGAACAGCCTCAAGCGCCGCTCGGGCTAACCCACCAACGTTCACCACAAGGGCAGGTTTCACTGGGACTCCTTCCGCACTTGGGCCAAAGTGTTTCCATGTGTATCCTTTCTTCTTTCATGTCATTCCGCGAGGCCGCTTCCCTTATGGCCCTAGGCCCCCCGTCCGCCCCCCTCGTGTTTGTGCCGCAGACTTTGAAGGCCTCGGAAACAAGGCAACAGGCGGCTGTCGGGAGACCCCCACCCCCACCCTTCACCGTGCAGCTCCGAAACCGTTTCAGGGCCTGTTGCTGCTGCTTCTGGTCCCTTGTCCGAGGGCCTGCCTTTATTCCTACAACTACTGCCAATTATTCTGTGAGGTCTGTAGCTCAGTTCTGCTTCTAAAGTGATCCTCCCGCTGACAACGGACGAACAGAAGAAGCACTGCCGGATACTGCCCGGCCCGTTTGCACTCCACGTCCACACGCGTGCCTTTGGCAGGGTTTGGAAAACAATGGATTCTCCCTTGTAATCTCTCCTTCATACTTTATTTGGCGTGCTGCACAGCCAGTCCCCACAGCTGTGGATGGTGACAGCCGGCACAGCTGCTGCAACGCACGCACATAGTTTTGGGGCCGTCTCGATGCAGAAGCGTTCTGAACCATTTATGCGAAGCTGGAGATCGTTTGGAGCCTTTAGTGGTCACCCACCCATGCGGCCCAACCTCGTCTGCCCTTCGGCCGCCTGCGTTTGCCACCAGCACTGAGGACGATGATCTTGATCTGACACGGGGGTGCTCGGGGCGTGACAGAGATGCAAAAGACAAACTTTTGCCAAGATCCTCTGCATGGGCACCGAAGGGAGAAGACAATCAACAACTGTCGCCCGCCTCGTCCTCTTGCCTAGTACGGCGCACACACAGACACACAGACACACAGACGGACCAAGAGGCACTGAGCATGTCACAGACAGGAATCTGCGGAAGCGAAATCACATCTCAAGTCCGGAAGCCGGCTGACCAACATGCAGGGTTGGCTGCAGCGGGTTGCCCAAGATGCAAATAAATCCCCTTGTTGCGTTGATACGTTCGGCCGACATGCCACAAGGCGAGCGGACATGCAAGGTTTGCAGCCAGAGATATGAAAAGCCTTTGCATCTGAAGCAGCCAACCCTGCATGTCAGCCTTTTATTTACTATTTAACTATTCTACTACTTGGGGTTGCAGCCCGTAACTCGAAAATCGCCTTGCGCTTCGCCTTTGCGCGGTCTTGCTCGCACACGGTTTACAGCACATTACACTACTTTATCGCCCTTGCGCTCGCCCTTGCGCCGTGCTGGTCTTGGAGCAGGTCCTAAACCTGCATCAAAATATTGAAGTGCGCTGTTAGCCTACGGTCAAGAGGCTGGGGCTTAGAACAACTCTCAATTTCGCTCCATATACAGCACTGCCGTGGCCGATGTTTCGCCGCTCACACTCGGGCAATCCAGGCGAGGCATGTGGTCTTAGGTCGGCAAAGCGGGACTTCAAACACAGCCCCTGGACAATAGACCCTCTAAGTCGGAATCGTCCTGCTTCCTCTGCCCAACCTCCTATTTCAGTTGTAGATACCCTAGTTCAGGACATTGGGCTCCATCTACAAACATTGGCCGATGCTTGGGGTTGGCAGCCCGAGATATAGAAACGTTCTTGCATCTCGGGCAGCCAACCCTGCATGTCGGCGCTTTAAATTTTTACAGTTTTGATCTTTCATTACACATACAAAACTGGCCGATGTTTGGGGTTGATAGCCCAAGGTATCAGAACGTTCTTTGCATCTCGGCCATCCAACCCTGCATGTCGCCTTTGACTATTTCACCGTGCTAATCTCTCGCTTCACATACAATACTGCCGTGGCCGATTTTTGGAGTTGGCAGCCCGATATATGAAAGCGTTTTTCCGGCAGCCAACCCTGCATGTCGGCCTGTTTCCTCGTTACCGTGTTCATCTCTCACTCCACATGCAGTACCGGCAGCCCGAGATGTAAACACGTCGTTGCATCTCGGGCAGCCCTCTATGTCGGCCTTTTATTATTTACTATATTTTACAGTTTGAGACCACATACGGTACTACCGTGGCTGATGTTGGGGCTGAGATGTAGAAAAAGCTGTTGTGTCTTGGGCGGCCAACCGTGTCTGTCGGCGTCTTACTATTTTAACATTTCACTCCACATAAAGTACTGCTGTGGCCGATGTTTGGGGATGGCAGCTCGAGGTATAAAAATGATTTTGCATGTCAGGCAGCCCACACTGCATGTCGGCTCGCCTTTCGGCATGTCGGCCGGCGGCCGAACACATGCCTCACATCTCACATCTTGCCGAGTTGCCCAGAATGCGACTTCAGCGGGGCCAATCTCGCTTTGGCTTGAGGCTTTGTTGTCCAAAGCAGTGGCACGGTCTCGTGGTCAGCATTGCCCACATCCAACACGCGCGCAACCTAGAGAAACAGAGACAGATGGGTCAATCAAGCACGGAATGGCACAGCAGTGCTTCCAAGACTCTGCAGGTGGGAGCAGCATTCGGCTGGAGGCTTCCGTGCATCAGGCGTGCCTCGCAACTATGCAAGGGACTTGGGTCTCATATTCCAGGATTTGCAGATGCGGCCGGCCTCAGGCAACTCCGGATGCGCGGCTGAACCCTCTGTGAACCAAGATTTACGAGAAAAGCTGATGAGGGCTCTTGCAGCACTTGCGCCACCGGTCGAGATCTTGGTCGCTGCGGCACAAAGGCTACCCAGTCAGAGTCCAAACTGCTAGAGGACCTGCAAGTTTGCTAAGATTCTGTGGCCCTTGCAAGGGAAGCTGCAGGGGCATCAGAGCCTGCCGGATGTTCGAACTCTCACCCGCGACACGAAACAGACACCAAGGCTAGGACTGTCAATGTAAACCGCCGCTTCAAGCGCTGACATCACGATTGTTTTCTTCATGTCTGCCTGTCATGCAGGGGCATAGGCAGAAAAAAAGGATCACCTCGCATCTGGCCTGAGAGCGTTCGAGGACCATGTTCAGCTTCAGCTCTAAGTTAGTGAGCTGCCCTGAAAGAAAGGAAAGCTCTTGCTAAGTGTGTATCCCTATGCCGCACCCTCCCGTCATGGACAGCCCCACTCTTTTCGTCAAATTCCTGGCCTATGGAGCTGCCCTGACTGAGTGACCTGCTTTCAGGCAATGCAAGAGATGCAGAAATGCTACGGCTATAGCGCGCTGGAGCTGCAACTTGTGACAGCTCTGCTGTTGAAGCTTAGGCCGTGCATTGACTCTAAGAGATGCTAGGACAAGGAGGGCCTCAATATCTTCGACAGGTTGGTCAGAAGTCGCCAAGCCTCAGAATTAGACGCAGCACATCACCCGGCCGTCGCCTAACCTCAACTGAAACCCATTGCCAAACCCCAAGCCCTAAGCATTCTCCAGACCCTGTGCCCGACAAAACAAATCCAAGACACACCCACCTTTCACACAGGCTTGATGGGAGCACGCCCGGCCAGGTCCCCGGACACACCCACCTAAACCCTAAACTGAACGATGCGTGAAATAGGAATATTCATTTAAGCCTTTCAACTTTACCCTGCAACGGAGGGAGTGGGTGAGTGACTGAGTGGAGACAGGACAGACGGAATCAAGCCAAACTTCAACGGTTGGAACATGGAGGCACCTTCGCCTTGCTTGTGAACCCGGATTCAGTTACTCAGCCAGCTCCCTTCTGGGCAAGGCCCCCAGAGTCCCAGAACCATCCCCCAGAGCAGAGCGAGCTCGAGCCAGGTGCTTACTCACTTACTGGCCATCCCGCGTTTTCTGGGACAAGCAAAGCCCGAGAGATACGCTCCGATAGACTGAAGCAACATCATGCGGCCCTTCCAGCTGGCCGCGCTGCTGTATCATGCTGTATCTAAGAACCACCTCATGCCTAAAACCTTTCGCTGCGCGATAGTAACATGTGGATGTTTGTGTCTCCGAGGTGCAACCTGCTGAGTGCCAACACGCGATAGGAAAAAAAAACGAACTGCCCAGATCCCTCGCGCAGCGGCCGCTAACTCGGACTCCTGAACTGCTTCACACTCCAATGTGCGGCTTCATTTGCAGGTACACCAGGCTGATCAGGCTGGTTCCCTCTCTGATGCATATCTTCGTTGGCCATGGTAGCATCAGAGAGCCGTACACCCAGCCGTTGCATCTGACACGTTCATCCCAGCAAGTCCTAAATCCTCAGTGACAAGAGTTACACACACACACACTCACACACACACACACACACACACACACACACACACACGCACCCACCCGCGCGCCCCTGCATAGAAGACATGAGTGAAGCAAGCAAGTACGATTGCGCCTGGCCCCACAAAACTCAGGACTCAGTGCAAAGCTCCGAGGGTCCCACACTGTGCAAAGCTCCCATAAGCCCAAAGACTTTGGAAATGGTGCTCCAAGGAACTGTTTGCCTTGCGGCGCAGCAGCTACTGACATCATTGCAGCTGTGATCGGCGCAGGAGGGCTGCGACAAATTTAGTAGCCGACGGGGCTCGCATAACCAAACTTCGAAGGCCTTCAGTCGCCAAACTGCGAAAGTTATCAATGCACTGTGAAGGAGGGGCGGGTGCCCTGCCTGGGTGGTGCTTCAGGACTTGGTATTGCAAGTCCAAGTAGGGTGGCAGCTGATTCATGAACCTTGTGCTGCAAGTGGGGTCTTCAAATTCAGGGCCACTCCGCCAGCTTGCCACTTTCGGGTCTTGATGGGTCGCTTGATGGGTCGTTGTGACCGGCCTGGAGAAACCCGAGCTCTACTGGTTGTAAAACCGGTAGGCCATTCATGCTCGGCACAGGCGACGCTCTGCAGATTTTCTGGACCCGAAGTCCGAAGAGGTAGTTGTGCCGACGAGTAGCTGGAGCATCGTGTAGATTCCTGAACAGTTGTCAACCCAACATTCCTTGCAGTGGCCAAGGTCAGGACAGCGCCTGCCAGTACGATGCCGTGAAGGATCATGGCCAGGATTCCAGACACGAGTCCTTGCCTCGCCCCATCGCAAGACTGCATGAAGAAGGCCCTCCACTTTAAACTCATCGTTTTGAATCCACGCCTCAAGTAGAGACTTACAACCTCGGCAACAGGCGACTGCGACGAGCGCCTTGCTCAACCCAGAGAAAGTCAGGTCCGGACAGGCCATGCCAACCTCAGGCACGCCATCCCTTGCTGTCTTTGGGCCTTCTGCAGGGGGCCCTGGCTTGCATCCAAGCGACCACGGAGCAAGTGGAAGGAGAAAGTCGTGGAGGTGCACACACCTTTCCAATCTAGGCCCTGCTTTGGCTCACAACACCTCAAGACTGGACTTGCACCCTGTCAGTCGTGCTCGCTGCAGGTCAGATCCATATTCTTGTGCTTTGGCCTGTCAGAAACAAGAGATTTTTCGAGGCCAGTGCGAGAAGCCACTGCATATTCCGGGCCCGGGTCTTGTCATCGAAGGCTTTTCCATACTTCTCACGGTACCTTCAGCACCGCGGTCATCGCATCGCAAGAGCTGGACAAAAAAGAAATGCTGTCTTCAGAGGTCACGAGGGCAGCTTCTTGGCCAGCCTCTCAAAGTCTGACAGGACTTGAGCACAGGCACAGCAAGAGCTGGTCTGCACTTCCAACAGTAACGAGCTCCAGCGCAGTCTCGCAAAATGCCGAGCCGCTGGCGTACCCAAGAAAAAGCAACTTCCAGAGTCAGCCTTTTCAAAGTCCAACACGACACACGATCACCCAAAAAGACCGCACTAGACAGCAAAGTTGAATTGCTTGAATTGCAGAGGAGTTTCGATGCTCAAGGCTTCGTTCTTCCATTCACGGAGAACCTGAGTCACTCACTCTGGCTATGGTGGAACAAGGAAAAGGCAGATTGAAATCTTCCGGCCCAGCAGTCAACATGGGCGACCACAAGTGTTCCCGCGTGTGTGTGTGTGTGTGTCTCTGTCTGTCTGTCTGTCTGTGTGTGTGTGTGTATCTGTGTCTGTGT